AGGAGCACTTTCACGCTTACTCAGCTGTGTATAATGGAAATACTAGAGAAGAGAACCAACAGAACTATCTCTTCACTACGCTACTGACCACCGCTAACAACCGGCGAAGAAAACGGTAGAGTCTCACCATACCCAGCAATCGGAAAGTAATCTCACTCGGCGACTTTTCCGTTCTGCGAAATTATCAGCAAAAAGCTCGCATTCGATTGGTACAGAAGGGAGATCTTTGTCTCGCGGAGACAGAGAACGCGGTAGAAGAAGGATGACCGAGGAGAAGAAAAGAACTCTCCGGAGTTGGAGAGAATCGACGAGGAGCGAAAGAGAACGGAAGGTCGAAAGGCGACGCGCGGAAGGAAGAGAGAGAGAGAGAGAGAGAGAGAGAGAGAGAGAGGGTGAGAAGTGGACGAGCGCAAAAAGCGCGAACGTTACGTGCCTCTTCTTTACGATAGAAGCTCATTGCTCGTAGATTGCGATTTGCCACGGACGTAATGAAGCCACGCCACCTTCCTACCAGAACAACTACGCGTATGGTGACTGCACCAGCAGCCCCGAGGAGGAGATGTTTTCCTCTAGCGATCCACCGCGACAGGTTGGCCGCTGCCGCCGCGCCGCCGCCACCGCCAACAGTAGTCGGTAGACGATTCGAAAATTTTTATCTGCCATACCCATTTAACTCCCTCGATTTACCACTGGTAACACACCTGCCGCAGGGGCGGCTTTTTGCAAATGCGCGTCGAGAGGATAGCCGAGAGCAATGCACGCACAATCGCGGCACGGAAGACAACGCGCGAACGCGCCGATGGACTTTCGACCTCGTGGCACAAAAATCAAGACATAAATCAACGATGAAAGGCATTTTTACATGATTTACACTCGCATCAAGAGAGAGAAAGAAAAGAAAGTTACAGCGATAAAAGATTTCCACAAAATTCCATTATTAAGATTTTTTTTTTACATAACAATTATGTATATTAACATAATTTTGTATATTCAATGTTTTGGACTCTTTTCTTTTCTCAACTTGCATTAGTGTTACACAAGTAAGTAAATAAAACATTATCCAAGTTCCTACGCATCTATGCTAATATTTTTAAATAAGGTCACAGTCGACAGTTGTGACAGTGACAGCCGTAAACGCAAGGTGCTGCCTTGCTCGAATATTTGCGACTCGATACGGTCGTGACAAGCCAGGTAACGGACGTGACGTTTCGAAAAATTGTGGGCAACAGTGCGAGAACACGCTCAACGAAATGCATTGCTCGTTACAATTTTATCTTTCTCTCTTCCACGTAAAAAATCAAAACAAGAGCGTAACAACAATTTGGCATTAGCTCAGCATGTGATTTCGAGAAATATAGTACTCGTATATGTTTAAATAAAAACTGTCTATGGAGAAAAAAAGACGAAAATATTTTCGCAAAAATAATGACGATAAAAAGTACGATCTCCACATATAACCCCAATAAAAATATATATTTTTCGAATATATTCTTGTTAAACGGAACTAACTGATTCCGCGAAAGACAAACGGAACGCGAGATAAATTTAATTCCACATTCGTATTGATTTAGATATAAATGATAGTAGTAGATGTAACTTCTCCCCATTGAAGTTACAATTTATTATTAAATCTTTTTTCTTGTACACCCTGCGTCGTATACAATTCTGTAACATTATTTAAATATTTTCCAGCAGATAAAATATTTCATCAGATTCTCGTTAATTGTTCGTAATGCAATTTTGAATATGATTTAAACTGCCGTAGTTTAAATTTATCTATATTAAATTTTTATTTAATAAATTTTATTTAATAAATTTATGCTTACGCCTTAAAAAAAATATTTTTTAAGGCAAACAAATACCTAGAAACTTTGCATATAAAATCATATTGAATTCTTTGTAAAAACACAATAAA